GACTCCTTTTCCAAGAAAATCCAATTTCTTAACATCATCTTCATGTATCCATACACCATTGTTATCTCGTTTAAATCCAGATTTTGGTGAACGCTGAATATCCGGCCCACTACCAGCTCGTCTGACCAATAAGGAGTTCTCTGTAGATTTCATTTAAGAAGATCAACAGAAGTTAATCACAAATACATGGTTTACTAGTACCGGTAGTGAGACTCAATTTAAAAACTTTTTTTCAGAGGAAAACATGTCACTGTCACATTGATAACCAATTTATATTTGAATTTGCTGCATTTTTCAAAGCACAGGTTACTGTAGAATACGTTATTTTTGCTTGGAATTAATTTTCACTATTTTCGATGAAGGAATGATTCAGTGAAAATAAAATCCAATGAATATATTATTTTCTCTATATTTTACATTCAAAAATCAGTGACAATAAATTCCATACAAAACACCCAAAAAGTCTATTTAGCGAAAATAAATTCCAGCTAAAATAATGTATTTTACAGTAGTATAAACTTTGCACTAAGAACTCCCTTTTATAATGACAATCCATTTCACAGCTCTCCACTTATGTGCTCTATTTCATACAGTTTGTTTCAATCAAAGTTACATTGTCTTAGAAAAATCATCCATGTGTGTGTCTAATGTATATCCTTCAATGACATTTTTTTATGACATCTGGGTGCACCATTGAACAGATGAATCAATGCATGAATGAATGAACAGACAGAACACAATCCCTATACCCTTAAACTGTGTCTAAAGTGATACACATGCCTGTACTGAACATCAATTGTAATTTGTAATGAAACACATCATTCACCTTTGGGGTCTGGATATACACCAATTTTCAATGGCACATCAAGATCTTCATTAGACTCTCTATATGCTTCTATCAATTCTTTCAAGGATGAAAACTTCATGTCTGTGAGGCCCACTTGATTATCTGAAAAGATAGAATGGTTTAAATATGGATACAGGCTATATGGTATTGGTAAAGGTCTAGGGTATGGTAAACCTATGTAGGGTATGAGTAAAAGAAGGTGCTGACTGAACAACTGCTGCAAATGATTTTATTTTGAAATTGAATTTCTTTTTTTACAGTTCAATGTTCAATTGACAAACACTTACTCCAGCGAAATTAACCATCATTAAATGTGTATATCACATTATGCATGGAAATATCTAATAAATACTTTTCTGCTTGTCGAATCCCGTTCAATGTTTTAAGGCCGGCACTACAATGCTGAGTTTTTTTGTTTTTACGTTCAATTTCACACTTACACGCTATGAACAGAAAATGGGTTATTGTATGGTTGTTCCTGCTGTTGGAATCGAAAATTGAGCCATAGACATAACTCACCTGAATCAACGTTAATCAGAAAATTCTTTATATGATTGTCGTAACACAAATTAAGAATGAAACTCCCAAGTTTGCCAGATTCTGGGTTTTGTCTGATTAAATAGGTGCCATTACACAATCTTGCATCTTTCAACTTTGCTTCAGCAACTTGTCTCCTAGAATGAAGAATAAACATTTGTCAAACCACTGAAAATGACCTTATGACTCCTGACCCCTGAACGTCCTGACACTAAAATGCCTACACTAGTAATAATACTGTTAATAGCGTAGTGCTAAAATAATACTTACGTTATAAGTCCATGACACCTTGCTAGGTTAATAGCGTAGTGCTAAAATAATACTTACGATATCGGTCCATG